TTCGATAGGGTTTAGGTCCGGGATTCGAGCTGGCTATGGTAACCGTGGTATACCCACAACATCAAGGTACTCCGTAACCACTCTAGCGATGTGAGCACGGGCGTTGTCGTTCTTTAAAAGAAAATCTTCTCCAATAAATGGGGCAAAAGGGATAACATGAGGTGCTAAGACCTCTTTCACATACCTCTGAGCATTTACGCTGCCCCTTTCAAACAAAACCAACTCTGTACAAGCCTCATAAGAAATTCCACCCCATACCATTACTGAGCCACCTTGGTAGCCCACTGTTTCGAGTACAGCACACTGTGCAAACCGCTCCCCCGGCCGTCGATACACTCGCTGGCGTCCATCAGGACCTCTTAAAGCTACTCTCGACTCATCAGAGAAGAGAACGTTCTTCCATTGCTTCATTGTCCAATTTCGGTATTGTTGAGCAAATCGAAGTCTAGCTCTCTGGGGCTTTCTGGGGCTCTGTGGTCAACGCGGGTACTTGAGTTGGCCGGACACCAGTCAAATTACGCTCTGCAAGCCTTCTTCTTATTGTTCTAACGCTAACACTTACATTTCGTACCTCAAATAGGCGATTACGAACCTCCGGAGCCGTAGTGAAGCGATTTTTTAAAACATTGGATACAATGAAAAGGTCATCTTTCTCAGAAGTGCACCTTGTTCGACCTTGCCCGGCTCTTCTGGTGTAGGATCCAGTTTCTCGGTATCGTCGGATGGCATCTCGTATCGTGGTTCAAGGAAATCCCAGCATACGGCCTATACGACGCTGGCTATACCCAGCATCAGAAAGCGCCACCGCTCTAGCTGCATCAACTGCACCCAATGGCATTTTACTGAATAAGTGAGTGAGTAGAGTAGCAAATGACAAAGCCTTTTTTTTTTTTTGTGTCTGGGAAATGCTTTGCGCATCCTTCAACCACTGGAGGAGCGAGAAGAAGGTATGTGGGACTCCTCCCTGTTCATTTCAGCCAGCTCTGTGGTCGGGTGAAATAAACAGGGCCCTACCTAACGCCCTGAACAGGGCCACTAAAAACCAGACAATACTCCTGCACCGTCACCCGACACGCACTATGAGGACCGCGGTTCCCCTAGTGCATGCCGAGAGAGCGGGTGTGGTCGCGGCTCCCGTTTCCGAATGGCCGCGCACCCGCTAGGTGTTTGTCCGCGAACGGACCCACCCCGATGAAGATGCCCCGGAGCATCAGGGGCATCAACATCCTGAGAGCTTGTGCAATGCGAAACAGCCATGCCCAGAAAGCACCTGCACCAGTCGAAAGGTTAGCGTCCCTGACCTTCTATCGATCCAATCCCTGAGAACTGGTTGGAGCGCCTCTATCGTTCTCACCCCCGCTGTTGGATTCTCGAGGCGCTCCAGCCAGCTCTCCATGAGCTCCTCCCTTGCCACCCTGCGTACCTGCGCCATCTCCTCTATCGTCGCACGCTTTCCTCTCTCCCTCGCCGAGATCCTCCCCCGGTATACCTTTGCGAGCACGAGTGCCTCCAGATCCCAGGGGGGCATCCCAGAGAGGGCACACGCCGCCTCATATGATACCGTCCGGTACGCCCGCGTCGAACGTATAGCCACTACCCTCTGCGGTCTTCTGAGCTCAGTTCTATTGACCGCACCGAGGGTATCGGCCCACACCGGAGCACCGTACAGTGCCATGCACCGTATCACCCCCGCAAAAAGCCTACGGCAACTAGCGCCGGGACCCCCAATATTAGGCAGCAACTGCCCCAATGCTGCTGCCGCCCTCACTAACTTCGGGGCTAGGAGTTTAAAATGGTGGTCGAACCGCCATTTTCTATCGAGTTCCAGTCCCAAGTATCTCATGTGCGGCTTTAGTAACACTGTCTGACCGTCCACCCATATCCGCGCCCCTCTCGGCGGTCTTGCCCGTGGGCCATAGAACATTATGGCCTCGGTTTTGGAGACGGCCACTTCGAGCCCCAGTCTGCGGATTTTTTCAATTACCATGAACGCCCCCGTTGCGGCCATGCAACTGGTTTCCTCGAAATTCCTGCCCCGGGCGAGGATAAGGGTATCGTCCGCATAGCATACCACTTTTATCCGGGGCAAGAGGACTCCACGAAGGGCCCAGTCTTAGCCCATGTTCCACAGGAGTGGCCCTAGGACCGACCCCTGTGGAACTCCCCGTTTCACTCGACCATTCCCCTTGAAGCCAGCGACCCGTCCGCTCTTACATATAGTACTTCGCGTCCCTCCAGGTAGTCTTCGACCACCTTCACGAGGTATGCGGGAAGTCCATGGTATCTTAGGGCGACCTTAATGACCTCATAGGGGAGAGTGTTAAATGCGTTTTTAATGTCTAGGGACACTGCTATTACACTCTCCCCCTTCTCCACCGCCCGCTGTGTCATCCGCTTGACCTCCATGACCGCATCCGTGGTGGAGCGCCCTCTCCTAAAACCGTACTGACTCTCCGCAAGGTTCGGACCTGTGGTGTCCAGGTGCTGGGTTATTCGATTTGCGAGAATTCTCTCAAACACTTTTGCCAACTCATCCAGCAGGACCACAGGTCGATATGCCGAGGGGGAGTCAAGTGGTCTGTCCTCTTTCTGGAGGAGGCACAGCTTACCTCGTTTCCAGACTGCCGGGAATCGGCCCTCCCGCAGGCACGAGTCCATGATTGTGGTTAAGTGATCACCCATGTGTCTCAGTGCCATCCGAAGGACACCGCCGGGTATCCCGTCTGGGCCTGGTGCTTTTCCCTTGCCCCGGAGTTTCTCCAGCGCCTTCTCCAGCTCCTCTTTTGTTATTGCAGGCGCCACCAGGTCAGGGTCCGCCATTTCTCGTGGAGCCATTAGTGGCCGTATGCCGGCACTTCTTCGGGAAACAGGGCCGAGACGACATCCTCAAGCAGTTCCGGATCAAACGTCTCGGTGGAGGGGGCTTGATGTTTCAGTTTGCTCCTCACCATTCGGTAAGGGCGCCCCCACGGGTCTCTGTCCGGATCCGCTAAGAATTCCTCCCAGGCCCTCTTTTTGGAACGAGCAATCTCATCTTTGAGGGCCTTCTTAGCGACCTGGTAGGCTTCCCTGAGTCTCTCCTCTTCCCCCGGTAAACATCTAAAACTTAAGAACAAAGAAATTTGTTTAAAAACTTCACAAGTAACACTTTATGTACGCGCAAAACAAACAGTTCGAAAATCAATATTCGACTGAACTCAATAAAAGTGACTCACACTTGAGGGTATCTTTAAAAAAAGGGTAATAATTCTCTCATTTTATCATAAACTACCCACTTAACAAATTGTCTTTCAATGTCATAAGCGTTTCGTTATTGTAAACAAAGTTATGCCACTTCAGGCGGGTGGGCGGTTAATTGTGCCTCTGAGTGTATATATAGAAAGATTAATTCGTTTTTTCAATGTTTATTTTTTATGACGAAAAAAGACAGGGTAAATATTCAGGTATTCATATTAATGGTGCAAATAAAACCAGTTTCATATGCATCATTAATGGTGCAACTTGATGGTACATTCGGTAAAACGTCGATTTTTCGATCGACTACTATAATACGTACTTAATAATCCCTTTTAAGAATGCATAGGTACTCGAAACTAACAAAAGTATGCAACGACAGAGCTGAACTAGTACGAACGAGTTGTGCGAATTGCAGTTGCGGTACGTCGGACTCAATTACTGTTAGCAGTCTGCACAGAAATTCTAATCTTAAAGTTTTGCACGTGTACATTCATATCGTCTGATTAATATCGCCGGGCCTCGAATTTTCTGCGGCTTTACAACTTTCGGATACTATCGCCCCATTATTTTATAGTCAATATGAGTAAAGCATTTGAATTTTAACAAGGCTGAACATCCTATTTATACTTTTTTTGAGTTTCTCTCTTTTTATCCTATCTTTGGGTATCAAAATAAGGAAAACCAATAATCAATGACTCTTCGAACTCTCTTGCATTTGGAGATAAAGACGATATAGTAATTATTATGTTACCGTTGAGAAATATACTCTAATCATCATCAGACCATTAATGTCCAAACTACAAGAGCACAGGCCTTATCCTAGGACAGACATTGCAGAATGGCATCATCATTTAGCCATATGAACCCCGGCACTAAGCAGTGGGCTTCTCCAAAGATTTATTAATGAGAAATGGTGTAAATCTATACTAATATTATAAAGCTGCAGAGTTTGTTTGTTTGTTTGAACGCGCTAATCTCTGGAACTACTGGTCCGATTTTAATGATTCTTTCAGTGTTGGGTAGTCCATTTATCGAGGAAGGCTATAGGCTATATTTTTTTTTCAAAATTAGGGATCCGTAATAAAAGTGCTATTTTGTAACACAAGATGTAAAATCAAAAACCTATTTTTGCATGCGCTGCAAAAACTATTGACAATAGAACAAAATGATGTACTACGGGTTCGTAGATCCCATTAAGACCTACAAAAAAGTCCGCGAGAACATATATCTAGCTATCATGGTTTAATCACAATAACCGATTTTGTGTTCAAAATAATTATTAAATCGTCTAAACAAAAAAATACTACGTTAAATATGTAATATTAATCTTTATCAAGAGTATTTATGTAGAAGTAAAAAACTTTTTGTTTCATCTCAATCGGATATTTCGTATAAAAGTTATCACGTGTGTAAGATGTTGGTACCTATATATTTTATCTCTGTATTTCCACGGAAACGAGAAAAACGCGGGTGAAACCGCGGGGCACGGCTAGTAATAGATAAAACTAAAACCACAGAAACAAATCTTTTTTTATTCTCCCCTTAAAGTTATATCTTGAAGTATTAATTTAAAGAGTCAAATGCATACATATTAAGCATATAAATTTTAATCTACTATCAAGTATTTTATAATTCATTTCCAATATGTAATAAACACCCAACAACCAATAAATTTTTCTTAACAATCACAATAAATTAAACTATGATTAGCTGTACTAATGTATATTCATTTTATAAGGTTTCTTGTAGTGATGAATAAGTATTTAATTATATTTATCTAAAATACCTGAAACCTTTGGGTATAAGTATTTGTACGCATGTTTTCCCCAAGTAAAGTCAATATGGTTCCATTGCTTTTGTTCCATAACATGTTTATGAACTACATTTGGCAATTGATCAGTAAGAAGTTTGACGTTCTCCAATGTTGCAAATTTGTCATTCCTGCTTACAAATAGTGCTACTTTCATATTGACATTTTTCAAATTATATCTGGGTGGCACAAAAGAACCATAACGTTTAAGATTTTCCAAACAGCCGTAGTCGTACTGAGCAAATTGTTTCCTGTTTGAAATCTGAGCAAAATGATTCATATTCTTGTTGGATGTACCGGCAGGCAGGTGGCCTATGACAGTGGGCAAAAACGAGGGTTCAAATTCTTCTGCATCGGATCCCGTCCCGGAAAACAAAAACCACTCTATACAGACTGTATAACTAAATACATCATCACTACACACAAGGTCTATCATTTTCTTGGCAAGAGAATTGTAAGAAAGTATTTCATGAACGACGTTGATAAGAAACCGATTCACAAAAAGTACAGTCTTCAAAAGGGCCGGAAGAGGACTCATGCTTTTGTGTAAATAACATACGGGTGCAAGCGCTACGAATAACTTAATCTTTTCATTATATTTTCGCTTGTGAGCACCCATGACGTACATCATTGTAGTTCCCTCGGAATGTCCAATGTAGTTTATCTGACTCTGGTTAGTTTTCTCTAAAATAAAATCAATTACCGCCGGCAAATCATACGATCCATATTCGTGAACGCTGTAATCCCAAAATGCAATATCAGCATCGGGATTCAAATGCAAGTGTCTTCTGGAATATCGGTTTCCTCTAGAATTTCCAACCCACACATCGTAACCTGAATCGGCCAAATGTCCAGCTAGTGATCTATTACCTCTAAGGATGTATGAATCTGCGCTGTCTAGAAAACCATGCATGAGTAGAACAGGTCGGCTTACATTTCCAGGTATATGAAACATTTTGAGAATATATCCATCTTTTGTAATGACGTCGTGCTCTTCACATTTGTAGCCATTTTTGATCGCCATCTCAGTAAAGTTTAAACGCGTGTCGTCATCCTGTATATTTAGTATACTGCATTGATCTTGGGTTTCTGCTTTTGTTTGTTTTGTTACATTGATCAAAACTATTATGAACAAAGTCAAATACATCATCACTTCCAACTTTCTCTGTAACCTCTGCTCAACGATATAATGCTATATGAGTTATAAATGCTCTCTATTTTATTTATAACTTTATACATGAACGGATCTTAATCAAGAATTGTATTGTTTTTTAAATGCTTCAATTCGTATCTGTATATTATTATTGACTGTTAAATTAAAAATATAGAACAATACCATTATTATTGAAACAATTTACTTCAATATCACACTATCACTATTTATTTTTACGTTTAAAAAATATATATTTATTTTACTAGTGGCGCTTACTGCCCGCCCCGCTAGGATCAAGGGCGGTTGTTCTGTTTCATGTTGTCGCACCTTTAACTTCGTTAAGTTTCTCCGATCAGGCAATTGTTCTTGTATAAAAAGTGCTTAGAAATATATCGTATTGTATTCAGGGAAAAGAATATGTTGTTGTTCTCTTATGTAAGAACAGGCTTAAAAATTTCTTTTGTTGTAGATGCTATTTAAAAGCAGTTAAACAATAACATTAATCAAAATATCCATATTCCCTATTCCATCCATAGGGAAGGCCTGTGCCCCAGCAGTGGGGACATTAATAGGCTGATGATGATGATGATTAATCAAAATATTAGAATGAAACAAGTATCAACAATTGTTTTTCTCGTTAGTGCATTTTTGTTTTTCTCGTTAGTGCAAGTTCTCAGACCAAAAAAGCCCTAATATTAGTGGACGTTAGTTACACTTGGGATTCGCCATTTTCCATAATAAAACTGCATTCTGTACGCGGTGACGGTAAATTGAATGGGCAGGGCGGGCGGGTGCGGCGTATGTTTGCGGCTCTCATCAATCACCTCTGTATGGATTTCATTTTAATGCGGTGTCATCGCCGTCTCGCGTGGCCGCACTGTCATGCCACCCGAGCCGCCCATTGTTTCAGACATACTGCGACACAAAATTTAAGCATATTGTGTTATTTAATGTGAGTTCCGACCCTATATTTCCATGGCTGACCGGCCAGTATTGATGCTAGAGAGAAAAAGATTCTGATAGCAGAGAAAATTCTTATAGTTTTACACTTTAGGCAAGATTTGGTTTAAACGCACTGCGACGTATAATTATAGCATGTGTTTTTTAATGTGAGTTTCTTGCCACCCTTTATTTTCATTGCTGACCAACCAAAGCTAGTAGTAGAATGAATAAGAGAATGCCAGCAGGAACTCTTAGTTTAATATATAAGAATATTCCCTGCGGGTACAACTGTTAACGGCTGAACACTATTTCCGGTCTTCTGCATTTACGTTTTGCCGCCGTTCGTTGAAGAAGAGTGTTAATTCAATGTTGAAAAAAAGTACCATGGGAATCTACTTTGAAAAGCCCGCGTGCGGGCACCAGACTCCTGTTCTTTGCATTTGTGTTACCTGGTTCTATCTTCCTGAAAGTAGTGTAGTCGGCTACACTACTTTCAGGAAGATAGAATACGGTACGCGGTGCTTTATTCAGTTTTTGATGCCGTCATTGCAAACCTACGGTTTTCTCGTTCAGTTCGCGGCGAAACTTGGGTACTACTTACTATGTAGTCTACCCTGATGTATGGGGCATTCAACAACCCTCCCTCGGATTCATACATTTTTTGCTATTGGCACAAGACTTTGACTGTATCACAAATATTAAAATAATAGTTTTTATCAATGGTAATCACCTAATGAAAATTCAATGGGAAGCTTCAATGTTTTTAGCACTTTCAATCTTTAACAATATCAAATCACTCAAAAAAAGTTCAAATTTTCAAATGGATTCAAAACTGAATTCCATAAACCTGTAATTGCTCGAAACGGGCACATTGCGTTCAGTTCACGGATACGACAAATTAAATCCCCATTCACGAGGACCCAAAGGGGACGTAATCCTTGACCGGCTGCTCTATTGTTGGCCGAAATTTGGATTGCATTGCCCTGCCTAAGAGCACATTTCCCCAAATTGTTAATAACCAATCGAGTTGTTTGTACGCTATTTTCTTTTTATAACTGCTAAATAGTTTCTATTTATGCGAAATTTATTATTGTGCCTTCAGACTATACTTATAAACGGTATTCGAATAAAGATGCTTTATCAAATATGTTATGTACAATATATGTTTTATATAAATAACATAGTTGTATAACAGATATAAAAGTGTGGACGAAAAGTTTTAGTTCAAGTGGTCGTGTTATATAACGAAAGTCATATAATATGTTATATAATCAAGACGCATCTTTATTCGAATACCGTTTTTAAGTTTACGTTATATAGGTACCTATACTATTTTTGTTTGTTTTAATTTACTTTACATAGGTCAAAGTCTTTGAAAGAAGTTTTCATCTTGATTATTGACCTTATTCATTACCTTATTGAAACGGGAAATGAGAATTGTAGTCCGGTGAAGCCACGTGCAGGAACATAGCTAGTTTGAAGGGTCACTCCCAGTATTTTTAATAAGTATAACATACATAAATAAGAGAACATTATATAAACGTAATTTAAATTGTTCAATATGTATCCCGCCTTAATCATATGATCTAAAAGACTAAATTAATATTCCATAATATCATTGTTTATACAGTCGGTACGAGGGGCAGGGCAATCGTAATTAATTACTCACATTCCCAATGCTTTTGCAGCTCGGGTCAACCTGAATTAACCACGCTGTTAATTTGCAATTAAAACAACTAGGCACAATGAAATTGACCCTTAAAAAATGCTACTCAATAGATTCTATCTTTTATTAAATTGTCTTTTTAAAACGGATCTACGTACATGATTCATGTCATAATACATTAAATATCGAGTTTTTGTTTATTTGACGATTTAAATTATAGTCGTTATTAAACCTTATTTTTTTAATTCTATTCAAATAAATCGTCATTTTGTGGTACTATATCATGTTTTATATTTAATTTCTGTATTAGCTTAACATGTCTTGTACATCATCAAATGACTTGTCTGATTTCAAATGTAGATAAAGTATTTTAATTGAAACACCAAAAAAGTATACAACACTTCATAATGCTCAGCTTAAATATTGAAGCATTTTTTTGTTCGTTAGCCCTCAAGAATTTTCCATGATCTGAAAATACACTTTTCATGATATTTTCGATGTTAATGTACTGAAGCCAATAAATTTCTTTTGCGGTTGTTTTTGTTTTGCTATCTAAGACCCTGAAACAAATGTTTGATATTTAAGAACCAAAACAATGAAAACTTTAAAAGTATAAAATTGCATTTACTTTTAGATACGTATGAAATGACCAATTACAGTTTTTAAATGAAAATTTTGGAAGGAATTAAACTTTGTGATAACAGTTATAATTTTTATTTTTTAAGCATGTAACTGCTTGATGTTTAAATCTAAAGAAAATATAACTAGAAAAGTTCCACGCTGACCAGGCAGCAGACGGGACTCGAACCCGCACCCTTCGCTATCCGGGCGAATGCACTGACCAATTATGCTACCGCGGCCCTGATGGCCAGTGCATTGGTCAATGCATTCGCCCGGATAGCGAAGGGTGCGGGTTCGAGTCCCATCTGCTGCCTGGTCCGCGTGGAACTTTTTCTAGTTATATTTTCTTTACATTTCTAATAACATTTAAAATAATAGTTAAGCAAAACATCTTATCATCAATATCGCGCGAAAATGAATAAATATGAAAGAAACAGCTTTTTTTAATTATTTATCAAATAAATTCCCTTCACAAGTCAATTAGTTTTTTGAAATCCTTATAATGTTTTGTATCATGTTAAATTAATTAAGTGTTAATGTAAGGTGCGAAAGTACAATTAAACAGTAATAGGAACATCATCCTTTTTAATTAATTACCCAATCATTGAAAATCCATAAAATGTTAATGCACAAAGCAAGTAAATAGAACACTACAGCCGGCCGGGTAGTGCTCAACAAACAGGGTCGTTCATGCCGGCCGCCGTTGCGTCGGGATTACTCCCCCGCTCAGATTATAATTCGTCACGTCTCGTAGCGTAGCGCCTATTGCAATCGTATAAAGGCAAAAACATGATACTACTGTCATATAATAACTTGTCATTATCATAGCCATCGAATGCCGAATCTGTTTTAAAAAAGGCAACATACTCAGATATTAATTCGTCACGTCTCGTAGTGCTTATAGATATATTCTGTCATTATCATTGCCAAATCTGTATTAAAATACGTCTCGTAGCGTCTATTGCAATCGTATATGGGCAAGAACATGATACTACTGTCATAATCGCCACCGAACCTGTTTTGAAATAAGACAACTTACTCGCTCAGATCAGATCAGATCATTATCACTGCCGAATCTGTATTAGAATTCGCCGCATCTCGTAGTGCCTATTGGAATTGTATATAGACAAAAATAAAATACTATTGTCATAATCACTGTCGAACCTGTTTTGAAATAAGACAACTTACTCGCTCAGATCAGACGTAGCGTAGCGCCTATTACAATCGTTTATAGGCAGAAACATGGTACTACTGTTATATGTTGTCGTTGTCATTTGTTGAATCTGTTTTAAAAAAGGAAACATACTCAGATTCAAATTCGTCACGTCTCGTAGCGCTTATATATTCTGTCATTATCACTGCCGAATCTGTATTAGAATGCGCCGCATTTCGTTGTGCCTATTGGAATCGTATATAGGCAAAAATAGAATACTACTGTCATTATCACTGCCGAATCTGGATTAAAGAAGGTTGGTTGGTATGGTTTTAGAAGTTAGTTCCATAACGGCGAATACAGATGCTAATAATAATGTTTATATTGACACGTCTTGTACAGCCTAAGGCAATCGTATATAGGGCACAGCGCTTATCAACTGCATTGACGAGTAATTTTAATCAGTCTTATCTTGATTTTCTCTGATTCCATTAATTGTGACCGTAACAAATACCCATTTATGTATCTATTATATTAAAAATAAGGATTTCTATACCATATTTATGTATTCATGCATAAAACACCATGCGCGAATACACCATTTGCATAAAT